GAAAGTGTAATGCTGGGTACACAATAGAGGGCAGTAACAGACTCACCATATCTGGGCAGGACGGTGAATGTATAACATGCACAGAGAACTCATGAAAGAGGAAGAGGGAAGTGTTACTAATGGAGTAGTGTTGGGCTGTTTTTGTTCACATCAACTGTACAGAGTAGTTGCCACATTACTGTTTCTGTGATTTGTGTGCTGTGGCACAGACTTTAGACCTTACATCTGACTCAAGTAAGTCCCGAAGCCTTGAAGCCTCTCTTGCGATTTGTTAATCATTTAGTGGATGGCAAACGAACAGGTAACTTTTAATTCTTTATCATTGTTTTGGCGTTATCTTCACTAGCTCTGTGTTATAATGACTTTCACTGTCCTCACTGATATCAGGAAATAGCTAGAGGGAAACCGATTGAAAGCAGACTTGAGCCTGCTCACTCTGAAACTTTTCTGGATCCTGTACAATGACTAGGTAGCGTTCAGACTAGCTGCTGTGCTTGTTCGGTTTTCACTCATTTGGTGGGTTGGTTTGGGTGTCAGTTCAGTTTTTCCTTAGTCTGCCTTTCATTTTGATCTGTGCTTATTTTTTTCTGGGCTGTAAGTGGGACTGGGGTAGGGAATCACACATCTCCTCTCCCCAGGGCCCACCCCCATCTTACGGGAAATGAAGCTCTAGATAAGTTTTGCATGCCCCCCCTTTTTGGGAACACCCCTGGAAAGGGGTTCTCTGGGACCAAAGACAGATTGGGCTTCCCTAGCCCTGTGGCTCTAATGGCTGCCTAAGGGCTGTATTTGGAACGGAGGATTTAAAATAGTCCTCCCCCAGGAGCGTTCTGGCCCCTGGAGAGCCATAGAAGTTGTGGGTAGAGCCACTGCTCATTCAGTAGGGGGAACTCTATTCCCTAGGAAACCTCTGCTTTGAGAGTCTCTCAGAGCTTTTTGCTCCGTAGAGCAGTATTTCTTCAGGAGTGGGTGCCCAGTGACACGGAGGAGTCCAGCTCCATGTACCATCAACTGACAGACCCACCAGAATCTTCTAAGTGCTTGTTATTTGGCAGATTGCTGTGCTGTTTCTGAGGCAGAGACTAAATTAGATTATCCTGGCAAGTCCCACTGCATGAAAGAGAAGGCAAAAAAGCCTATATTATCATTCCATGTAGGTAGAGAGCTTAGCAGCAAAGGACCCTGAGTGGGACCTCTCGGTGCCTCTACCAAATAAGCAAGGAACTTGCTAATTAAGAAGATGACTATGAGAGAGAGCCTGAGGGGAAGCAGCAAACAGACCTTCCACACAATCCCTCCTCGAGTATTTAAGATTTAAGTTCATACGTTAGGAGAATGACTAGTTTTTAGATTGTAAACTCTAACTTCAACTTTGTTTTAGCTCTCTGAAGCACCAGCACCATTAACGTGCTGTAGAAATAAATGAATAAACCATCCTGATTTTCCTGTATTTCATCTCTAATTTAAAATCTTCTTTTCCAGTAACTGTGCATCAGATCAAACCCAGAAATGAACTGCAGCAACAGCAGCATCAAAGTGCCCGAAACTTTTCATCTCATTCAGCTGATAGTGTACATCCCAGTTTTCCTTTTTGGAATCCTATTTAATGCTCTGGCTTTCTGGGTGTTTTGCTATAAACTGTCTAAATGGACAGAAACCAGAGTGTACATGATCAACTTAATGATTGCCGACTGTTGTTTGCTCTTCACTTTGCCCTTCAAAGCATTTTCCCACAACCATGCGCTCCGCCGAGATAACAAGTGCTTGGCTTTAGAAGCTACATATTTTATAAACCGGTACGCAAGCATCTATATTATCACCATCACCGCTGTTGATCGATACATTGCAATAATGTACCCCCTAAAATCAATAACTCTGAGGTCCCCGTTCAAGGCAGCTGTCACCAGTGGATTTCTGTGGCTACTAGTGATAAGTTTTGTTTGCTTAGCTGAAGTATCGGAAGAGCAAGAAAACCGTGGGATTTGCTTTGAAAAGTTTTCCACGGAGCCATCCAAAGGGGCATTAGCCTTTAGTATTGGGGGATTTTTTATACCATTAATCATCTTGAGCTTTTGTTCAATTCAAATAATTAAGAAGCTTGTGAGAAAGAAGAAAACAAATCCACATGAGGAAAAACTAATCCAGAAAGCAATCTACATTGTTTCTGCAAACATGGCTGTGTTCATAATATGCTTTTTACCTGTTAATATTGGGCACATTGTTCGGTTTATTGTGGATTCCACCAGCACCAGCTGCTCAGTAATATACAACGGTAATGTATTCTTGCACATGGCCTCAATCATAGCAAACACTAACTGCTGCATAGACGCCATTTGTTATTACTTTGTAAACCAGGAATTTCAGCAGGCATCGTCCATGTTACCAAAGACAAAATCTGTGAAGTCGATGTCTAATCACAGCTAAGGCTCATCTCTCTATATGCCATTGGATAATATAAAATTTAGATAATATATATGTGACCTAGCTCACTGCTTTCCTTTCCCCAGGGAGGGAACATAAAAAAGCAGGACAGTTGGTCCTCCCTATCAAATCTGCTCATACTAATCTTGACTGAATGGGTGAGAGTTTCTTGATGGTGCATATTGAAGATTGGATTTTCAAACTCTAAGAAGCCCAGGATACACAATTACTGCACATTCAAACTGGAATTCACATGCAAAAATAGCTAGTTAAATGCTTGTCTAACTTATCTGCATTCACAAGTGTAATAATTGCACAACTGCACACATTTTTGTACCGAACACAGGTGTCTTAAGGTTGAAAGAGATATCCCTGAAGCCATACGCTACAGATATAGGTGGTGGCCATGCAAGCCCTGGCCTGACCACTATTAAGCTCAGGGTCACAGTGCCACTCAGATTTGGCTCAGCCATCCCCTGAGTCTTGCTATTTCTGGTGGGCAGAAAATGCAGCCCATGCACCTGGGCCACATATGAGTGAGTTGCATTGAAACATGGCTCATGGGGTCCCAGAACCATTCAGATTTACCCCCTTCCCCCTCCATTAAATGGCTCTCCACAACCTTTGACTATCTTTAGCTATGAAGCATATTGTGGGTTGTTGCTTTCATCATCTGTGGAAAATGAGAGTTGGATTTTCTTGTATGGAAGCCGGAGCTCACCTGAGTGGTTTGTTATTTACATGATAAACTGCAAATAGACTTGTGCTTAACTGGCTGAATCACTGCAAGCAGTAAAACAGCAGTGAGTACCAGGCCATAATAGTGGGATAGAGAGCTTATGCCATCGGCATATAGTATCCACCAAGAAGCACCAAATCATAGTATTCAAAAAATTATGTAAATAATGATATATCATACAGCACATAGGGCTCTATATGTGTGCATATGAGCTGGAAAGATGACCTGACACCATCTCTGAAGGAAACAAGATGCAGGTGTCTTGTTTTCTTATGCCAAATGCATCAGGCTCACTTCAGATGATCAGAGAGAAGTTAACTGAGTTTAGGAGAAAGCATGCTCTAACAATCCCAACCTGCCCCCTCAGAGTTTTACCATTGGCTTCACCGAGGGCAAGATCTGGGCCTAACTCATTGGGTAATGGAAGGGGGCTGAAAAAGAGCCTTGGACTCCATGAACACCCTTTGAAAAGACTGGAATCCTTTTATCAGAGAAGAAATGGACAGTCATTGGGGGATTTGCCTATGTAGGTGAATATCTTGTAGAGGCTACCCCGTGGGAAACTGAGGGATTGTGAGTCTCCTGGTAATAATTCATAGAGCAAGCCTAAATAAGGACCAGTAATCCACTGGTTTTTGTTAAAAAGTATTTTGAAGCAGTTTTCCTGGATTGTACTTGCTTCTGTAACATGTGTATATTCCTCTTGTTGCTATTCACTTAGACTGTTGTGTTTGCCCCAAGAATAAACTTGTCTTTCAATCTGCCCCACTTTTTGTTATTTGGACATTAAAGGAACAGCAGTTTGAAGAGGGCATTAGCCTAATGTGAATCCACTTGTTCTGTACCACTACTCTCTGACATCAAAGAATACTCATGGGAGCGAGTGTTGAACAAAAGAGGAGTTAGTTTAGAGGCAGCATAACCAATTCTTATACCCTTCAGAAAGATCCATCGTGACCCTAGTCAATTGTCAATTTAGAGAAGTCAAGCCCTTGGAAATATTCACAAAGGGCCAGAGTCTCCCACCCTTCCTCGCTGGGAGTAGTGCTTTTCTTCAAGAGCATCTTACTATAGAATAGTACCGGTGAAACTGATGCAACTGCCAGAGGTGAAAGTAAGCCAGTACGGCGTACCGGCAAGAGCCAGTACGCCGTGCCGGACCGCACCGACTTCTGCAGCTGGGATTTAAAGGGCTCTGGGCTCCCCACAGAGCCCTTTGAATCCCGCCCGCAGCTCCGGTGGCCGGGCTGGGGCTGGGATTTAAAGGGCCCGGAGCTCCTGCCACAGCGGGGAGCCCAGAGCCCTTTGAATCCCGCCCGCAGATCTGGCGGCTGGGCTGGGGCCGGGATTTAAAGGGCTCAGGGCTCCCTGCAGCAGTGGGAGCTCCGGGCCCTTTAAATCCCGGCCCCAGCCCGGCAAGGCTCAGGGCTCCCCGCAGCCACGGGAGACGTAGGCCCTTTAAATCCCAGCCCCAGCCCGGCAGCTGAGCTTAGGCGGGGATTCTAAAGGCCCTGAGCTCCCGCGGCTGCGGGGAGCCCAGAGCCCTTTAAATCACAGCCGGTGCCCCAGGGCCTTTAAATCTTAAGAGGCCCCGCCTCTTCCCGTTGAGGCCACGCCTCCCTCAGGACTCCAGCAGTACCGGTAAGTCCTGTAAGTTACTTTCACCCCTGGCAACTGCTTGCAGAGTAAAGTACTTCTCAGCATGAGTAATGGTAGGAGAATATGATGAATACTATCATTGATTATAATATTTGGGGAATGTTGACAGATAATTTATACAATGACATTCTCTTCACTAGATGACTAGCTCGCTGAACACTATTCATTACAGGTTTGTTACCTGATTCTACATGGCCTCCTCTCCCTGCAGCACCACATAGCACGCTGCAGCTCGAAGCATGACAGGAGAATGAGGGCCTGCTCCACCCCTGCAAAACAGTGACCAAGGAGGGACACAGAGTGAATGGAAACTTGGATTCATCTCAACATCTACACACCAGCCAGCAGAACTAGTCAGATGTATGGAGTGGGGGTGTGTAATGGGGCAATGACTCACCCTGTGGCACCTCCTGCTAGTCATCCAGGGAATTAGCTCTTCCAGCCTCCAGAGCACCCTCTGCAGCCCCGAGTCTCGCCTGTCCCTGGCCCCGTGACCCTCCCAGACCCCAGTGCCCCTTTCCCTTGGGTGCTGCCCCCTGGCAGTACCCCTTCAGCTCTCAGGGTCTCCCCTCCCAGGGCAACCCCCTATCCCCATCTCGCCTAGTCTTGGGCTACTGCCAGTCACCATCTAGCCCCCACTCACTGGGGCAGACTGCAGTGTAAAAGCCACTCATCATAGGCAAGGGGGGGTTGGACCTGCTGCCCTTGCCTACCCTGGGCTGCCCCTCTGCAACCCCAGTACCTTTCCAGCCTTTATCAAGACCTGCAGCCTGGGGAGTTTCCAGGATGGAGCTCCCCAGTTCCTCTAGCCTTTCCCCAGTCCTGCTCTACTCAGGTACCCTGCTCAGCTCCCAGCAGCCAGGCCCTCCTCTCAGCAAGCTACAGAGAGAGAGACTCTGTGCTCCTGGCCCACTGCCCTCTTATAAGGGCCAGCTGGGCTCTAAGTGGGACATGGCCCCAGCTGAGGCTGCTTCCCCAATCAGCCTTTCCCCAGCTACAGCCCTCTTGAGGGTTGTTTTTAACCCCTCTGGGCAGGAGCGGGGTGACCACCCCATTACAGGGTGTTTCACCCCGAAAAGGTTGAGAGTAGATTATGTTCCAACCCCACAAGAAGGGGAAAAAGAGAGGAGAAATTGTAAATAAGTGGAGTGACTTGATCATACTGGTGCTGAGAAATTGCAGTGTACATGAGGCCCTGGTCATGACTTAGAAGGTCTAGAGATTAATGGCCTGACTCCTACCATTATCTGTAGCCCTGGGAAGGATTTTTTTTTCCTGAAACCATCTGGGCTCGGAGAGTGAGAGTTCTTATCTTGACTTCATTTTACATTCACAACATATCAAGCTAAATTCACCAATGGTATTTGGACAAAATTGAAAGACAGTCTTATCACCAAGACTCAACACTACATTGTGCTTAGCAGCATGACCATGGGAGAAAACTGGCTAACCTGAGGATTTGTTAATCAGATGTTTTCACCTGTAGGTGGCCACTTCAAATGTGGCTGAGCTTCACAAAGAGAGAAAGTCGTGATAGTTATTGCAATCCCCTGTAATATCTGTGAGGACCATATTATATTCAGTTTATGTCTCACTCTGAGCTAAGGATTGGAACTCGAGCAGGGAGGGTTACCACAAACTTCCCCAAGAACCAAAAACAGTGAGAGGTGATTACGGCAAGTCATGCAGGTTGTAACATCTCCAACATCTGGAGAAGCTCACCTATACTAGTTCAAACTGGCTTATCCAGAGACCAGACAAAAAAAGGACTGTGGGATAAAAATCTGGGTTAACACTGACTCGGGCTTTCTTTTTGATCCAGCAAGTGGCCAGGACCTCCTGTCTAAAGGCCACACCTTCATGGAAGGATTGGAAAGGCTTTGGTCTACTAGGGCCTCATAAGACTGATGGGTGACCTCTGTTAAGTTTTTAGGATGTGCACAGGAACTTTTTTGGTTTTAGATGTTTTCTGTGTGGTGCTTTTATTTTAAGAATGAATCCAGTATGCTTTGTGAAGGAAGGTTAGTGAGTGGTGTATACTGTTAGAACCCCTGGAGAAAGGTTAACTATAGGTGTTACATCACCATCAGAGTGTTGGGGAAATGCCTGTGAGGAGTAAAGCTTAAACCACTAGTCTGGAAGGAGAGAAGTGGAGGTCTCGGCCTGGGAGAGGTAATGGCTGGGAGCCAGAAACCTTGAGAGTGCCCTCAAGGAAAATCACAAGGGAGTTCAAAGGTGCAATTAATCCTGAAACTGTGACTATCTCCATGTGGAAGCTACTCAGTACCCTGAGTAAAGTGAGCTGATAGCCTTTGTCTGCTTCTGAAACAACTCCTATCCCACTCCCTGTGTTCACCACACAAACAGTCTCTGGTAGTCTCACCAGAAAGACCAAGGATTTGAATGGGCAATGTACTGAACAACGCTCTCATCAGAGGAGCTCCCTCCAAAGCAAGGTCAGGCATATTATTAGTAGGAGGAAGAGGAAACTTTGCATTGTCACTTCCTGCACTACATTCATCCTGTGAACTAATAGAGGGTCTCAGTACCCACAGCCACTAAGTGCCCTTTTTATAAAATAAGTAATTACAAAAGTAAGTGGCTGGGATGCAAAATTCCCCAGTGACAATAGACAACTGAAAAAGGTATCGGCAATATTAGGTTTCTCTAAGGATTCTCAGGCTGATGTCACAGAACCTACCTACCACATGGATGTACACCTGTAGAGTTACTGTTATTAGCTTTCTTAGGTGGGGGCTTCCTGTTTTTTTGTTGCAAGTACGGCAGGACTCGCTGCCGCATTGCCGCCAAACAGCCCGACGTGCTGCCCCTTCCCCTTGGCTGCCCCAAGCACCTGCTTGCTGGGCTGGTGCCTGGAGCCTACCCTGGCTATGAGCTAGTGGTGTGACTGTTCTCTGCTCATGCACCCATACCTGTGCTAGTTCTCATCAAGCTAGCACAAGTATAAATTGCAACGTAGCCAGGATAGGATGGGTAGCAGCAGTGGAAACACAGCTCAGCTTACATACTGTACTCAGCATAGTTGAGCCATGGCTCTGCTGCTGCTACCGTTGCTGCTGTGGCTACATTGCTATTTATACTCATGTTAGCTTGAGGAAAGCCAGCATGCATATGTGTATGTGAAGCAGGGTGGGGGGAATTACATCCCCTAGCTCTTAGTGCAGGCATTGCCTGTGAATGAGGTTTATGCAGGGCAGAAGGCTAGAGATAAGAGTTCAGTGGGATGTCAAACAGAAAATGTGTGGCAAAGCCTGCCCTGAAAGCATTTTTGTAGCCGCTTAAGATACCTTTGAGATGTTTACACTGCAAAAGAGTATCAGTGAAAGATCAGGGTGGTGTTTAGCTGCAGCTTGATATGAAAAGCTTCTATGTCTTTATTAGGCTAATGGTAATGTTTGCAAAAGTGCCCGAGCCTCAATCTTATTTTTAAAAGCGATTTAGGTATTTATGCCCAGATCCACAGAGGTATTTAGTCTTCTAACTTCCATTGAGACTAAATAGCTTTGTTCATCTGAACCTTAAGAGCTTAAATCTCATTTAAAGGAACTAGACAGTTAAAGGTTATGGACGCACCACAAACCCCCCCCCCCTGCCCCAAATCTGCAGCAGAGAGTCTAAAAGCCCAGCTCTGCTATGGTGCTAAAAAGAGCACTGTAGATGTTTCCTCTCAGGCTGGGTCTTCAGCTCTGAAACTGAGGGGTGGATCTCTGAGCTCAAGTAGAAATATCTAGAGCAGGGGTCGGCAACCTTTCAGAAGTGGTGTGCCAAGTCTTCATTTATTCCCTCTAATTTAAGGTTTTGCATGCCAGTAATACATTTTAACGTTTTTAGAAGGTCTCTTTCTATAAGTCTATAAAATAACTAAACTATTGTTGTATGTAAAGTAAATAAGGTTTTTAAAATGTTTAAGAAGCTTCATTTAAAAATTAAATTAAAATGCAGAGCCCCCCGGACTGGTGGCCAGGACTCGGGCAGTGCGAGTGCCACTGAAAATCAGCCTTTGGCACACGTGCCATAGATTGCCTACCCCAGATCTAGAGTGATTTTTTTTTTTAGCACCATAGCACAAGCCCGCATCTGTAGACCTGCTCTCTGAGACTCACAGGTTTATTTTCTTCAGTGTAGACTTACCCAAAGCCCGATTCTCCTCTCACTCCAAAATAAATAAGAAGTAGCTGTACTGATGTCAATGGAGGTATAAAAACAAAGTGAGGATAATCAGGCATCGAGACAGAGGTTAGGATAGGCTAGAGACTGGTGGCTTTTTGGCATAGTCAGAAACAATATCCAGAACATACATTAGTAAATTAATATTCAAAGTCCACCAATTTCCAGAAATCTTTCAATGCTGTAATTTGAGTCAACAATATTCACACAATGAGTCTGCATGAGTCATTCGCTCCTATCACCTTTCATTCCGCATATAGGAAACATTTTATACTGGGCTTGGTAAACCCAGCATCGATACCTGCAGTCCAGCCTACCTTCTTCAAAACACCCAAGTTTCTTTTGAGTGACATGTGCCCCAGCTGTCTACAATCTGCAATTCAATGAAGTAGCCTTCAAGTTTAGAAGACAAAAACAAGAGTTAAATATGCTGAAAATGAGAAAACGCCCCAATGGAGACCAATATAAAGGGGCTCAGATTAAAAAAAAATTAATAGTGTAACGTAAAGCACTTGTAGGTAATTTTGTCTTCTCTTTTATTAAAATGGAGACCCGATTCCAAATGAAAAGGTAGCCCCACTGCAAAGAATCACCACCCTCACAAATGGCACTGATGAGAATCCATGTAAATTGGCTCTGCAACTGATTCACTGTATGGTCTTAAGCAAGTCACTTAAGCCAATGTTTTACAAAATGTAGGTGCCTAAAGTTAAGTACACATATGTATATATAAGCACGTACTTATAAGGCTTGATTTTCAAATACTGAACACACACATCTCCCATTGATTAAAATGAAATCAATAGGAGCTGCAGGTTCTCAGTTCCTTTTGAAAATTAGAGAGCTAACTAGGTGCCTGTAAATAGGTAGCATTCCCACCCTGCTTCTACCACAATGTACACACTTAGGGTGTGTCTACACTTGCAGAGTTTTTGCACTGTAAGTTTCACCGGTGATAGGAAACCAGTAAAAGTAAAGTGCTGGTTTGTGTACTCACTTAATTCCTCAGGTGTCAGAGAGTGTTTACATTAGCAGTACTTCCATCCCTTGATGAGAGCAGCACTCTAGGGCAGCTATCCCA